GACTGAGGGTATAAAAACGCAGACTGCAGACCAGGGGTAAAATGCAGACTGATGTAGATTCCTTCGCAATAACGGCTGCGAAAGAGACTACGCGACAGATTAATCAATTTTGAAAACATGAAGCATTCATGAATTCGCCAAAACATAACAGCCCAGATCCGCGCGTGGCGTAAATTGTTTGTAACAATTCTGTGACAATTTCAGAAACAGATCGCCCCTTTCAAATTAAAGTTTACTGAACTTACATTGCAATACATGTAGGAGACTTCAGCCATTTATCAATCTCTTAAGAATTACGAAATCCTGAAAAATACTCCGAATTATTCATATTGAAACTTAGAAAAATTTGACAAGGAAAGCCTTTGTTACAGTGGATCTAGATTTCTCGACACATCCATTCTTCGAACCTCAGCCCAGCGAACCAATTTATTATTAGTCTTTTCCTTCCTCTGATAGTCGCTAGAAGTCAAACGCTGTCATTTTAACCCCTTTTTTTTTTTAATAAGTCGAAAGCTGTAATTTTCAACCATTAATTAGTAGTGTGACACAGTAACCATCCAGAGGTAGTCATAAACTTTTGGTATTTTGATATGGCGCCCCCTACATGTCAGACGCCCCTGTTTGTCAGGTAGCGTTACCAACCTTAGTGCAACTGCCGCCTTCGTTCCAAGCAAACACTTTGCATTTAGCCTCGTAGGCAGTTTTCATGGCATCTTCGCTCGACGTTCGTGGGGGAGGATAGATAACATTAAATGTAACCTTGTATTCCTTTCCTTACACTTCGTCGATGACGTACCGAGGAGAGAAAAGAAGAAGTGATAGAAACTCTACAGGCACCCCTCCCTAACCACGGAGAGAGGCCTGGGGACAAGGCCGGAACCAAACCGTTTTTCGGTCCAAATGTTTCTTGGTTGTCGTCTGTGGCGTTGCTTAGGGAGCTAGCCCCTTGCAAGTCTTGCGAAATAAAGCATTTCTGTTCAAATTTGCGCTGTTTAGTTTTAATGCCAACACATTTGTTCTTATCTTTTCCCGCCGACCTGACTCTGAAAAGAGCTTGAAAGCACCAAGTTTACTTTATGAGCAGAGTCGCTTGCATCTTTCAAAGATATATAACTTATCTAAGAGTGATAGAAACGGCTTTGTTCGCAGGGTCCACGATATATCATGAAATGCCAGTCAGCGCTAGGGGTTAAACTTGGCAGCATAAAATCGCTTCAATAATGACTCAAAAGGCTATTATGAGAGAGATCGCAGGAAAGCCACTCCTATCAACCGTTTTCATCTGCATTCTACTTGGAAAACGGATTCATTGCTTAGTTCTGTTTGAAGCAAAGTGTTCTGCGAGGACCTTGGTAATCAAGTTAATATAGGAAACGTGCGCGGTGGAGGGCTTATATCTGGGCGCTTTATATAATCTTGATATATTTTTCGTTGACAGACAGATGGGCCCATGACGGTAGCGGGGAGGGGGCGGGGTGGGGGAACTCCCATGTGAAAAGGTCGGGGATTCTTGTCGTCTTTCTTAGCGGTGTAAATCAAAGATTCTGGTCTCACTTAGGGTGTTCATGACAAACACCACTATTTTTAGCTGTCAAAGTATCTTTTAGTTCACACTCGTAGAAACAATACCAAAAGAAACGCTCTTATTTCCGTTTTTAAGCTCGACTTCCGTCGGTCTCTCTATCCCAGTCTACTACCGCGGGCTCCTTTCCTGAACAGCGGCCTGGTATTCTGTTTTAAGTGGTATCTTATAGGTGTCAAATAAAGCCAGAGCCACACCCAGATTGATCTCCTTTAGGGGTTTAATTCAAATTATCCAATGAGCACCCCGACCTTTTCATGAGAGTACCCCTGGGGGCCATGAGCAGGGTGCGGCATTAATGTGTTATATCGACTGATTTATTCAATTTGTGAAGCATCAGTGATGGAAACCACCCCCCCCCCCAAAAAAATAAATAAATAAATAAATAAATAAATAAAATAATAACAACAATTTTCTTAGGTATTTCACAGATGACAAGGGCAACATTATGACATTGTACTGGCTAGTTCATTGTTTATCATGTGATTTCATTTTCCAATGACTATGTTTTCACCAACTCTTCTTTTACAACAAGGCCCATTAGTAAAAAAATATATATATATTTTCCAAGCTTCATGCCACTATCCATGTGTTAAAACCCACGGATTAAATTTCTACTTTGGCTTCTGAACTAAGTCCAATTTTACCAGCGAGTTTGTCCATCTTACAAGAGGACAGCAGTGACCCGATTATTTTGGAAAAAAGCCACCATGTGCGTTTCTTTCTTGCAGAGTTCCTAGGCTTTGGTAAACACTCCTGCCTGCACATTCTGAAGGTATTTAAGACGAGCTGGATTGTCATCTGAAGGCCTGTTATGAGGGGTCCACACAGGTTCACCAATGAACAGACGCATTGCTTTTATGTAGTCCTGTGGAGGAAAAGGTAGAGATTAGGAGAAAGTCTACATCAATCTTGTCAGTATCAATCTTAGGTATTGAAAAATGAGTGACCCTTACATTTTTACTTATTTCAATAAACAAATAAATGACAATGACCAAATGAAGTTTTGGTAAAGTTTTGGTCATTGTCTCTATCATTTTTGGATAAGAAAAAGATGTTTTACTCAAAATTAACTATACACTGGAAATGAGTTCTAAATAAGTACTGCCCTTGAATAGGTGCTGTATCAAATGTGCAGTTCCAGAAAATATCCATACTCCCCCCACAGAAGGGATTGAAATTTCCTGGGAAGTGTGGGATTCTCAAAAACCAAAATATTTAAAGAAATGTATGAAGCTGAACTGGAATTTCCAGAAGGGTGGGGAGGTCTTAGAAAAAATCCCTTCTGTGGGGGAGGTATGGATATGTTCTGGAATTGCACAATGTTGAAAAATTCTAAAAAACACTTCGACTTTTTCAAGTGAATAAGTTGACCTGTTGCAAATGTGAGAAAAACTTAATCTCATGATCAGATCTGAGACAAATTTATGCCAACAAAGAGATCATAGTCTACATGTATGAACAGACTCCAGCTGGAAGGGTCTGACTGCAGCTAGTAGGGCCAACAGGGAACTGGCTCAGAGTGAAGTGGTCAAGGGGGGAATGGGGTTGCAATTAGTGTAAGAGCTTTCCACTACTTTCTGCCCTCCTCTCTCTCCTCTTCCCTTTCTTTCCGCTTTCTCTTTGCCACATCCTTGACCAAAGACCCTGTTCACAAGCTAAGTGATCACAGAATGCTGACATGATTATCTCACAGCATTGTTGATGGAATAAGGTTCACTTACTTTGTCATCCAAAGTGAAACGGTGATAAATGCCAGCTGGTAGAATGATCAAGTCACCCTTTTCAACAAAAATGCGAATCCACTTATCCTCCTGATTCCTGATGTCAAAGTAGCCACTGCCGTCCAGGATAAATCTGATCTCTTCATCTGTGTGAAGATGCTCTTCAAAAAACGTCTTGAGCTATGGTATCAATATAGAAATACTCATTACTGACTGCCATACGTTTTTGTGTGTGTGCACAGCCCTTGTCGAGGGAATTTTAGTACAAAAGTGTATGTTATAAACTATGTCTTTCATATTTCACCCTATACATTCGAGCTGAAATACTTGTTCCCCAAGCACAGAGTTGTGTGTTTGTGTTTTGAATACCTTTTGCTCATAGTTTGGAAGCTTTTCTGGAGTACATGTGATACAGTCATCATAACTGTAGCCTCGTTCTTCCCGAATCTTTGCCAGTTTGCCTTCCTTCTCATAATTATCAGCATCTATCTACAAAACACAATGTTCATTCATCACAGGTGAGGGGTTTAAGATGGGTGTATTTCACTTTACAAGGACTACCAATCACATGACCTTGCAATTGGTTCTAATCCTTAGGCCTATTAGTTAACAACGACACACTATTGGAGAGTGAGACCTAAAGTTAGGAATGTTAACATAAAATCGGTTCACAGTTTCATGGACAGCCAGACTTCTCTATTACCCTAACTCATACGAGAATGCTTGGGCTATTGCATTGCAAGAATGTACAAGTTTTCACATGGTTGCTTTTCACACTCACACAGCTATCTAAACAAGGGATTATTATTTTCCTACTACCACTTGGGTCAATAAAATAGCTACCCCTTGTTCCCCCTTTGTCCCCATCATTCTTGAGTGGTCCTTTGAGTGATCCTTTGAAAAAATGCGTCCTACATAATTTTAGTCAAATTTCAAAGGCCATGCAATCTCAAGTTTTTGCAACACAATTTAGAGCCCCATTCTCTCTTGCAAAGCCAAGTAAGTCTTGTACACGCAGAAAAGTCTCAAACTTACCATTTACTGCCCTGTCACTTAAATAAATTGAAAGGGTGCATGGAAAAAAGCCCTAAGTGACTCTTGATCTCATGTCAAATTCTGCTCTTTTTGTAGAAGGAAATGAAAAGCAATTTGCTAGGAGAATGTTACAGTCTATCAGATGTCACCTAGGGTCTTTTTCCATGCACCCCTTCAATTTGGTGCTCTCCTTCTCAACCCCCTTTATCCTTTTCCCTTGCCTGAAACTCAAATGTGTGATGAGGGTCGTTCAGGGGTAGTCTCTTGATACATGATTAGTTGATTTTATTTTCAGTGAAACGTGAATTAACGAAATTATTTTTCATGATCCGTGATCTGAAGGTTTTGCATCACCCATGATGAACTTGAATTATTAACCGATATTTGTGATTTCAGCACTCTATTCTACGTGATTTTGAGATGTGAGTCCTTGGAATGGTTAGAGTCATCTGTCAACAGTGATTTAAATATGTGATTTGCAATATCAATGGAGCCTTGGCCTTTCACGGTTTTGCTTTCTTCAAACACTCTTTCTAGTGTAAGAGCACGTCATTAAAAAGAGTACATGACTTGCTTATTTTTGTGATTTGAGAAAATGAAATTTTGATATCTGTGATCCATTATTCACAATTTTTTCGGTTCGTGAACTGTGCCAGAGACCCTCCTGTACGACCCTCTGTGATTTACCTTCCAGTATAATACCCCACAGTTCTTCAAATCTTCCAGTGATACTGGTTCAGGAGGATCAAGCTGATGTGGCAGTCTCTGATCTGTGTCAGAGGAATCCATAAACCACGCTTTCACCATGATAATCACACTGTTCAAAAATCGGGGGAAAAAAAAGAATACTGTATTTTGTTTAGGTTTAGTTTACAAAAACATGCAGAATGCAGTATTGGAGAAGGTTACGGATGATCTTGTTTCACACACGAGTTAACAAAATTACCATGTTTAAAGTTACTAACAAACATGGATAAACAAGAATCTTTTTAATATTATTTTATTATTATAATAAACACCTGTGAGTGATCCATATTAAGCACCTATTCCCAACATCTTCTATATTTTAAAATGTGATGAAATTTTCGACCAATCGATACCAATTGACAATTGATGTGACCACCGAATTGATAAAAGGTCACACAAATCCTCTTCATCAATTGCTCATCGATTGATATTAATTGGTAACGATTGTAATCGATTATCAATTTCATCGATTGGATACCCTGGTACATTTTGCAGCATCATGGTAAACAAAAGTGCTGATAAATGATTTTCTAAACACAGATGGACCAGTCTATGTGTTCGTGGTTAATAATAAACAATTACTGGATGAGGCTTTTGTGATATCCAGAATAATCAAGGTCGAGGTAGGGGTTATCAGCTGAAGCCTTCCACTTCACCTGATAACCCTTACCAGCCCGATAACCTTCACCCAGACCTTGATTATTCTGGATATCACAAAAACCGAATCCAACAACTGTTTTATTATACATTGAACGGAAATAAAATGGAAGTCATGTTTTCGCTTCTTCACTGATGGCAAGCAACACAAAGTGCACAACCTTGACATGATTACCCTTAGAAATCATGTACCGCGGTGACATGATTATTGTATAATCTGCAGTTATGACATCACAGGCGCTGATTTCGAAAATTCACTGTACGCTTTCGGCCGATCAGAAAAGAGATAGTGAGTTCAATGTATAATAATGTTTATATGAAACAAATAGAATCTATGAGAGTTATGAATAAAGCTCTGAAAATTGCATATCTAAATTACATCTCGGTCTGAATAACCCATTAAAGTTAAATGAAACGTTAATCGACTCATGTGCGGTGTTTTTTCGCGTTCTTGGGACGTCTGAAGCGTCTTTTTACGAAATTACTTTTAGCTGGATACCGGTAAGACAAGAGAGGGAGACGGTCGCGACTGGCAGCCGCCACGTTGCAAGCCTTGTCTCCCTCTCTTGTCTTGGAGATAGAAAAGTTATGGTTACATTTCTTCTGCCAAGGTTTGAAAATGAGATAAGACGTTTTCTTTACATTCACCGATAATTTGTTACAACGTAGCCAAACGTCAATATTTTTAAGTTCGTTATTTAGTGCAGATCCCTCCAAATCCATCGATCGTTTATGGGCCGATGGATTCTGAGTGTTAAATTGAACTTTGACCTTACGCTCTGGTATAGAAAACAATAAGAAATAATCATAAACAAACGTTCTAGAACCACTTGAAATACTCACGTCTCTTTCTAAGCGTGACTTGGAAATTATGCTTCGCAAAAGCTTTGTACGTAACTGCACACGACAATGCACACACACGTCTTGGGTTGAGCCCAGTCCCCACACTCCGTCTCCTTTCCAAATTTGGGTATCCCTGAGTTTTGGGTACCCCGGTACCCAAATCCCTAGTGTTTTGGGTACCCAAAACACTGAAAGCTTAAAACTGGGGCAAGTGAAATCATCCACAAGTCTGTTCAAAACCCAATTATCTTCTTAGAAAGCTTTGTCTCAATAAATTAAAGCATTATTTTACTTGATATAAAGACAGTACGTCGCTGAAAATAGTCGCAATTTAGAACAGACTGTCTGATCCGAGCTGTAACTGACCTCTGTGTATGCTGCCTGCGTCTGAAATAAATTTTGTCTTACAAGTCTACTTGTTTATTTATCGCTCTTTCCTTGACCATCCCTCCCATTAGATTTTGCCGGCGAACAGTTCTCTATGCCATTTAACGAGGTTTTTTTTCCTTTGT